GCGACACCGCGGGGGCTCTTTTTTTGATTGGTGCAACGGACGCGTTGTCCCCTTCGAGGCCCACCGGGAATTATCTCTCTTGCTCTCTCTCCCAGCAACCGCGCAATGGCTGAGCACGAGCACAGAGAGTACATGGCATGGTCAGTGCACTCACCGCGTCTTCGGCTGCCCGGTGTCGAGCCTGCTCACCGTCACAGTGCAGAGTAGCAGACCTCCCAGCAGACCTCCCCGTCCCCGGTGTGCCATCTTGGTCTTACCCTGTACCCCAAGGCTTGATTCAGTCTTTTCTCCCCAGGCTATTGTCAATACCATCTGGCCTTGGACTCGGTGTCAGTTTCTTCTCTGGAGTTACAGTAGATGATTCCCAGTTTTGGGGGTATCCACGTAGGCAGGAATGCCGACGGCATCAACGCAACAAATACCGGGAACGAATGTGAACAAGACGAGTAGTATCGCTAGCTACGGTACAATTCATCGGCATTAACCCAGGGTTCAGTCCCCCACGCTGCGACTTGTCCACTCAACTCGACTACCGAGCCGGTCGAAAGCCCGCCTGTCCGTTCAGCTCACTGCCCCGTCTCTTATCCGCCACTCCAGCTTTCCGCACCGATTGCTCTCCACAAGTCTGCACCCCGATCCCGTTCACAGGCCGGCTCCGTGACCGTACATCGGATCTTTCTCAGCGACTGCCCGAGTCAACGGGGCCAATTTGTGGACCAGATGCATGTGCGTCACTGTATCTTGTTCTATATCGGGATATATTTGAGATCCGAAACGATCCTAGACATTATAAGTCTAAAATGGATGTGGTTTACGTCTACGTATTGAGGTACGACTCGAGGTTCTGGGACCTGAAAGGACACCAGGCATGGATACCACTTCGAGATCATAAAAACTCAAGGAAACCAGACACATTGCCAATACATTGGACAAACGTGCCTCATAGAAACCTCGAAGTAGGAGCCGACTCACTACGTACGTCGGTACTGGAAAAAAAACCAACTTCATGTCCAATTGCACAACCAGGGACGCGCAAGGGAAGCGAGCATATGGAGACAAACCTCAGCCTGGAACGCAGAACAAAACAACAGAGGCAAGCTGCAAACAGCAGACCTAGCGTTCCAAAGATGCAAAAGTGTCGGAACTTTCGTTACTGATTCTCAACGAGGTACCCAAGAGTATCGACCAGCACCAAACCCGAAAGCGGCAAGACAATCAGAGGAAATCAAAACAAAATGAATGTCGCCGCTCAGCAATGGGAAAGGAAAAAAATGAGCCCAGTAATTCCAGGGAGGCTGGGAGTGGGCGGGCCTCTGATTTTATTTCCCCCGTGCGCACTGATGCGAGCGCGGCAGGGGTGCACGTTGTTTTTATTCGATGCCTGTCAAACCCATTTTCGCCACATCGGGCTAGCGCAAAGTCGCGCCTCGCCGTGGGTGATCCGTGATCACAGCAGCGACGCGCGAAAAGTACTTAACCTCTACCTCCCCCGCCAACCTCAACGTTTCTCCCTTACAACTTCCAATCGCCACCACCACAGCTCACCTCGACTCCTCCATCTGTCGATCTTTCTCTCAACCCAACTCAACCAATTTTCCCCCTCAAACAACCCCCACCCCAAAACTACATCAAAATGACTGGCGGCGGCAAGTCTGGCGGCAAGGCCTCTGGTTCCAAGAACGCTCAATCGTATGTCTTCTCCATCACATCGAGACCCGGCGCACCTGTGGTGGCCGCGCGTCTTTGCGGCGTGACGCGTTTCATGTGCTCCAACATCCCATAGCTAACGGTTCACTCAAGGCGTTCTTCCAAGGCCGGTCTCGCGTTCCCCGTTGGTCGTGTCCACCGTCTTCTCCGAAAGGGCAACTACGCTCAGCGTGTCGGTGCCGGTGCTCCCGTCTACCTGGCTGCTGTTCTTGAGTACCTCGCTGCCGAAATCCTCGAGTTGGCTGGCAACGCCGCTCGCGACAACAAGAAGACCCGCATCATCCCCCGTCACCTCCAGCTTGCCATCCGAAACGATGAAGAGTTGAACAAGCTTTTGGGACACGTCACCATCGCCCAGGGTGGTGTTCTCCCCAACATCCACCAGAGTACGTTGATCGATAACTCATTCGATGTTCATTCCACTGACAATTTGTCCCAGACCTCCTGCCCAAGAAGACGGGTAAGACTGGCAAGGGCGCGAGCCAGGAGCTTTAAATGCATCGTTCGGTTTTGCTTTATTGCGCTGGTTGGCTGTTTGGGTTGTCACGACAAAGGGGTCACGGTTCAGGGTTCACGGTTGCTTTATTTATTCGCGCGTTAGGGTTGTACAATAATCCCCACGGCTATGGTCATGAATAAGAACACTTCAAAGATCAACCCCGAATTTTTGCCTTGTGAACCGATTCATTCCATCGCAGTCCCATTTACTCCCTTCTGAGTGTCACGTTTGATTGTACAGTAAAGACGGTGATATGCCCTGGACTCCACGCACGTGGCCATCAACCTGGATCGCTCATAGCAATTCGCTTCGCTCTCTCCGAGGTTGCTTGAATTCGGCAAAGACTTGGTGATCAAAGCACGCGTTTCGACTGTGCGCGGTGTGGTACCCTGTCAACGGAGTCGCCGGGTTTACGTGGCCATGTGGAATAATTGCTTTGACTGGTGTGACATTCTCTCATCTGGCTTCGATTCTAATCCCCTATGTACAAGGTTCTGCCCATTTGTCCGACAAATTTCCAAACATCAATGGCGGTTGACGGCATGCGGGGGAGCTATTGTGCTATTAGTATGTGATAGGTGATATCAGTGTGAAAAGCACTCACGATCCAGGATGGGTGATGGCAAATTGCGCTCGAATTTCGAACCTATCAGGGTCTGTTAGCAACTGGCCACACACATCCGCAATGCATCGTCGAGACTTACCACCTGGTGCAGTTGGAGGAGTGTATGGGTCGGGGTGCTTCCAGCTGTCCAGCAACTTTTCCGTCTCGGTCAACAGGGCCTATATAACTGTCAGTCTGGGGACCCCATGTCCAATTGCGCTGGTTAGCCCACCCTCTGCTGTCTTGGGTTCGTGACATTGCGATTGGCCTCGAATAGTGAGCGGATATATAGAGCCTGGCCTCGCCAGAGGTGTCGGTGAACGGCCCAGTCCAGTGCCAGCTTCAATGAGCGGCGGTAAAGCGACCTAGGGCCACGCGTGTCAGTATGCAGTACGTTGGTGAGAGCTCAGCGGATCGGGTCTGGTGAGGGTTCTACAGACAGGGCAGCTGGTCGGGTCGACATGGTACGCGAGTGAGGGTGTACGTGGCCGGGGCCAATCGAGGAAAACTCGTCGCTCAGAGTTGATTGATCGATTGACGCGGGGGTAGTCGCCGGCTGGCGGTCACACGACGGTATCGGCAGGGTGTGTGTGTGTGGTGGTTGATTGTGTTGAGCTGTATGGAGAATGCCGGCCATGACGGCAAGATTTAGTGTCTTGTCGCCTTGGTCCGGGGAATTGCCGAAAGGCAGGTTTATGAAGCAGGTTGAGACTCGCTTACCCTACACTGATGGAACTCACAACGCCACTCGCTGACTTGGAAGACTCGCTGTCGTGCTTGAAAAGCGAGTCAAAATAAAGCATAGTGTCATATCGTAATGATGCACATAACATCAAGCCAGGACTCAGCCTTGATAGGGAAGCTGGCCACAACGAAGGATATCTCATAGATAGCATAGAGAGCACAGACGGTGTGTCTCTTTGTAAGAGTATCAAGTTTTCTAAGATCCATGGACAAACGTCTCACCCCTTACTTCATACAGTCCAGTAGCATCTTTGTATATCTTTCGTCAACGTGTGTAAAAAAAGCAGTGTTATCCCTGATTACCACCGCAGGTTCAACTCTGAAAGCCTAGCTCGCGAGGAGAGGGTTCGCCCAGGTAATGCACATGCTTCAGCTAAAAAATTGTGCAAGGTCTTCAACTTGTGGCCTACTTCGACTGATAGGTTGGCCCCCTCATTGTCCGGATACCTAGCGGGTGAGCCAAATCAGATAAGAAGACAAAGATCGGAGGTATTATTGACTAGAAGCAAATCTATGAGCTTTCAGATACATCACAGCTGCCAAGAAATGTTGTCTCCAAGTCATTTAAAAGCGGGAGAGGACCTGACAGAACACAAAGGGAGCAACAAGCACCACCAAAAGTGATTGCCGTCGACGAAAGGGTGATTTATTTAGCCAAAGAGGATTACCAGAGCTCCCTAGACATGATTCCTCTCGGCCATGACGATCGCACTATTTTCTCTGAAGTTGATGGGCTTCGCCGTTCTCGGAAAGCCCTGGCTGAGTGGGTTGTATTTGACGAGATGGTCAAGCTGGGGGAGCGCCAGGTGAAGTGTGTGTGTCACATTTCAACACAGTTTCGAGGACTAGGATGAGAAGGTGAGGAGGACGACACCGTGGAAGAAAGATTGGTCCGGAATGGGCCCATTACCCTGGGCTCAAATTGAACGACGCCCCAGCGAAGAAGGTTAATATAGTCGAACCAGACTTCAGGAAGATTCGACCTAACCAACTCGAGAGGTCTTGAAGGGAAAGAGGAAACGGGCTGCTAGTAAGGCTGTATCCTCATGTGGTGCCTAAGAGTCTTGCAAAAATGCGAAATTTTGCACATCTATCTATACCACTTGACGGTTTAGCACGAAACGACCGTCGGAAATGAAGGATTGATTCAGCCTCAACCGACACGTACGCAGAGCATTGAGATACCCTGCCAGATGGGCAAAAGCAGCCAACGAGGAGGATGTCTGCCATTGACTCTTCCGCGAAGATCCCAAAAGGAAACCGCTTGCCTAATGACATTCAAAAGCTTTATGGTCTGGATGAGGTATTTCATGCTACTACTTTTGTTGCTCGCTCATGGAGGGGGCCTGGGGAACCACGGAGACTTGCTTAAGGGAGATCTCCTCGAGGCGGAGTTGACTAAGTGTACTTAGCCGTCGTAAAGGCCCAATTTACTCCTATTAAAGCGGCAAGATGGCCGAGTGGTTAAGGCGGCAGGTTTAAGAATTATCCCTGCTGGAGCAATCCTCCTGGGTTCGAACCCCAGTCTTGTCATTTTTTAAGAGTTTTTTTATTTAATATTGTAATTTTTTATTTTAATAGATGATAGTACTTTATAAAACATAAATAATAATAGAAAGTCGCCTTTTTAATGAGGTTTTTTTATAGAAACATATTAATAGTATTTTAAATTATTTTAATTAACTTTTAGTCTCTTCACTAGATATATATATATATATAGTAAATAAACCTTATGTAGATTATTATTCTATTTAAATCCTTTATTATATATAAATTATAACCTCTTTATTTTATTAAAAAATAACATCTTTTAAATTTAAAGCAAATTATAATAAGAAGTAATTAATATTTTAACACCCTTAATTATAAACATATGTATTTTTATGTTATTAAATTTATTATTTATAGGAGTATTAATTATCTTCATAATAGATTAATTAAATTTTAAATAAGATGCTATTATTATATAAATTACAAAATAGAAAATAATTAAGTTAAATTAATAGTAATCTAGATAATATTTTAATTATTATAATCTATTAATAGATTAGCTATACTATATTATTTAATATGATTATTAAATATATTATAAATAAAAAGAATAAGGTTATTTATAGTCTTTTTAAGGAGTTTATATAATAATTAGATATATGAAATAAAAAATAAAGGAGATATTAAGGAAGATATTAATATTTATTTTAATGCAATCTTAATTAAATTGTTAACACCCTCTTTAAAGGATAATTATACTTATTAATAATCAATATAAATAAAGTTTATAATAAGTCTCTAAAGGCTAGAAGAAATAGCTATTATTATATATTATAAATTAATTTAAAAGGCAGTTTAATTCTTTATTTAAAGAGGTTAAATGTAATATAGAAAATAAAAAGAAGGAAATAATCTAATATCAATAGTTAACTTTTATAATATTTAGAAATATTAAATAAAATTATATTACTTAAGAAAAGGCTATAAAAGTTAATTAATTATTTAAAAATTACTTAAATATAAAGATATCTTTAAAGAAATAAAGAAATATCTACTTCATTTCTTAAATCTATATTATTAAAAGAATTATAAAAACTTTTCTTTTTATTATATTTTAATATTTTATATTAAAGATCTATATTTATAATATATATATATATATATATTATTTAATACTATTAAAATTGCTACTTCAATTATTATTTCTATATTTCTCTATTTCTATATTATATATTTACTTCATTTAAATATAATAAATGAATTGATTTTATTAAGTTAATTATCTACTATTAACTTACGCCTTTTTTAATATTTAATCCATTTACTTATAAGAGTTAGCGGCGAGGAGAGACCTCGGCCGGGACTAGCCTTATCATTAGATGTGCAGCACGATTGAGTAACGCTAGCTACTCGGAATCGCTTGATCTTTTGCCTCAACCGGCAATGGGTCTTTATGTGGCTTGGGCATGCTGCCCCAACCCTTACATTACTAAAACCCTCTATATAACCTTATAATAATATTAAAATAGATTTCTTTAATCTTTAATACATCAGTCCCTTAACTACTAGTTAATAAGCTCTATATTTATAACTAGTTATAAAATATATACTATTTAGCCTTTTAATTTCTTAATAAATTGACAGTTTATATAAGTTATTTATTTCTTTACTCTCTTTAAGTTAAATCCTCTAACTAGATTTATTATATTATAATTTACTACTTTATATTAAGATTATATTAATATGTATTAAGCTATAGAAGGACTTAATAGCTAAAACTACGAACTGAATTATTATTAAATTACTAAGTCTACTAATTTTAGTTTTTTTTAATTTAATTTAAATTAAAGGTTTAAGCTATATTTTATAACTTAGAAATAAAATCTAAAGTTTTTATAATCTTATTATAAAGATTATATAAGTTATATTAATTTAGATAATAATATTAAGTATATTATTTAATTAATTAATATATTATAATGTTATTATATCATTTAAAAAGTAAATAGAATAAAATAAAAAAGCCTTTATTAGCTTTTTTATAGATATTTTAATTTTACTAATATTTAGCTTTTTTATAATATAGCTTTTTTAGTTAATTGAAGTACTTTAAAGGGTTATAGTTAAAGTAATAAGGCTTATAGCTTAATATAGTAGAAACCTTAGTTTTTTAAGTTTTATAAATTTAAATTTTAAATTTATTACAGTATTTCACTTTACTAAAAATTTTTTAAAAAAATATATATATCTAAAATAAATAAATTTTATATATATATTATTTAATAATAATATAAAGGTTTTATTAAAAGTAAAATATAACTTTATTAATTATATAAAAGTTATATTAATATTATATATATTAATATTTATATTAAAGACTTTATTTTAACTATTATTTATTAATATAAGATATTATTAAATATAATTATAAATAATAAGGAAATTAAAAGAGATATTTTCATATAATTAAATATATTAAAAATTCAATAAAAGTTATAATTTATAATTAAAAAGTTAATAATATTATTAAAGTTAGTAATATTATTATATAAATAGAAACTTTACTATTAAAATTACTATTTAAACTATTATTTCTATATTTCTACATTTTTATAATATATATTTACTTTATTCCACTATTAAAACCTCTATTTAAACTATTATTTTAGCATTTCTATATTCCTATAGCAGTTACATATTTACATTATCTAAATATAGCCGATAAATTAATCTTATTAAGTTAATTATCTTATTACTAACTCACGCCTTTTTAACACCCCAGAATCCCTTTACTAAACCCTCCATCCTTTATAGCTAATATTAGAGACAGTCTATCTATATAGCTCAAAGATTAACTAATTCCTTTATTAACTAAGGCTAAGCAGCTGAATTCCTTTAGCTTTTAATACATCAGTCCCTTAGCTACTAATCAATAAGCACTACATCAGTCATCAGCTATATAACCCATGCTATTTAATTTATATCATTAATGGATTATCAGTCTATAAGGGTCATCTCCTTCCTTTGCACTCTTTAAATTAAGGCTTCTAAGTAGACTTATTTCACTGCAATCCATTAGGATATCGCAGTATTAAGCAGGACTATCCTATCTTATAGTAGAATGCGGCAGCTGAAGACCATTAACTTAATAAAGGTCTCGCTATTAAGTGTAAGGGTTGGGGCAGCATGCCCAAGCCCCACAAAGACCCATTGCCGGTTGAGGCAAAAGATCAAGCGATTCCGAGTAGCTAGCGTTACTCAATCGTGCTGCACATCTAATGATAAGGCTAGTCCCGGCCGAGGTCTCTCCTCGCCGCTAACTCTTACATTAAGTTAGTCAATCTCAGCAATAGATATATATCTAAGGCTAGATTCTTTAGCTATAATTTACAGCTTAGGGATAAAGCTATAATCTACTTTAATAAAGGTATATAGATTATATAGTAAATTGTTAATATATGTTAACTTTAATAAGCTATTGCTATGCTATAAGCTGGTGCATAAGATCCTTATATAGGCTATATTATTTAATTAATTAAGGAGTTATTAGTTAAGTGGTTGCTAATTGTAGAGTTATTGCGTAAGTTATGGGTTGGAATGTATAGAGCTTGCGCTGGCTTATATTCTATAGGCATTTTGCCTTTATTAATATCTAGCTTTTCTATAATTTAGCTTTTCTAGCTGATTGAGGCATCTTAAGGGGTTATAGTTAAGGTAATAAAGCTTATAGCTTGATATAGTAGAAACCTTAGTATCTTAAGTTTTATAGGCTTAAGTATTGGGTCTATTATATTATTATGCTTACTATTAAATTCTTTCTTTCTATTTAACCTCTAGTCCCTCTGCTAAGTGTATATACTTAAGGTAAATAAACTTTATATTTACTTTATTTAAATATAATATATAAGTTAATTTTATCAAGTTAATTATCTACTACTACCTTATGCCTTTTTTAATACCTAATCCCTCTTTTAAAACTCTCTATATAAACTTATAATAATATTAAAATAGATTCCTTTAGTCTTTAATATATCAGTCCCTTAGCTATTAATTAATAAGCTCCATATCTATAACTAGTTATAAGACCTATACCTTCTAGCCTTTCAATTTCTTAATAAATTTATAATTTATATAGATTATCTTATTTCTTTACTCTCTTTAAGCTAAGTTCTCTAAGTAGACCTATTTTATTATAATCTACTACCTCATACTGAAATTATATTAATATATACCGAGCTATAGGAGGACTTAGTAACTAAAGACTGCTAACTAAATTAATATTAAATCGCTAAACCTACTAATTTCAGTCTTCTTAATTTAATTTAAATTAGAAATTTAAGCTATACTTTATAACTTAAAAATAAGACCTAGAGTTTTTATAATTTTATTATAAAGATTATATTATAAATTAGTAATATATTATATATTTAGTTTATTATTATTATAATATAAGATAATATAAGTTATATTAACTTAGATGATATTATTAGCTATATTATTTAATTAATTAAGTTATTATAAAGTTATTATATTATTTAAAAGGTGGGCTAGAATATAAAGAGGTAAAGCTTTTACTAGCTTTTATTTTATAGGCATTTTGCCTTTATTGATATCTAGCTTTTCTATAATTTAGCTTTTTTATAATCTAGCTTTTCTAGCTAATTAAGGCATTTTAAAGGGTTATAGTTAAAGTAATAAAGCTTATAGCTTAATATAGTAGAAACCTTAGTTTCTTAAGTTTTATAGACTTAAATACTAAATCTATTATACTGTTTTATTTTACTGTTAATTTTTTATTTATTTAACCTTTAGTCTCTCCACTAGGTGCACATATTATAAGTAAATAAACTTTATATTGGTTTTATATATAATATTTAAAATTAAAAGTCTTTAGAAGGTATATTATTAATTCTATATTAAGACTAGGTCTTAAAGAGGAAAGTAGTTATATAAAGTAAATATATATTAAGTTATAAATATAGGCTAAAGCTTAGCTTTTCTTTAGAAGGGAGCTAAGCTTCTTTATTTAAAGCATCGCTACT